GGTAATGGAATATGTTAGACCTCAGAAAGCTAACTTCTTAGACTGTGATTTTTAAAAAATTAGATTTCTAGGGGCTTCCACAAAAAATTAATTAAGAACCCATATATATCTATATCTATATAAAATCTTTATGTTGAATTAATGACTAAAATACTTTAGTCTTTTTGGTATAGTTTAAGATCATGAAATATGAAGAACTCATAAAAATTTGATGTTGAATATATTTAAATATGGGTGAAATATAAAATAAATTGAAAATATTATAAATATTTGATTTTTAAAGCATTATAATTTCTGGATATTACTCTTGTCTTTAATATCAATCTTCTAGCAAATTAACAGAAGAATAAATAAATATGCCACCCTGCCATCCAAAGCAGGAGGGGAAAATTGTAGTTATAAGGAAGAATCAGTTCAACATTATTTATTTGCTGTTATATGTACAAATCTGTATTACTGATTATTTCCTAACATTATTATTTCCAATCTCTACTTAGTTACCAATGCTGTAGTAGTGATACCAACCCTAAGAGAAATAATCAGTAATACTGATTTTCTAAATATAAATGAAGATTTAATATATTCTGTCATGCATATTTACTATTAAAAGACATAGGTATGTTAGTCTGGAAAATCAGTATGCAAAGGGATCTTGTAGCACCTTTGAGATTAACTGAAAGAAAGAAGGTAGCATGAGCTTTTGTAGACTTGAGCCTACTTCTTCAAATGCATGTTTACATATCATAAATAAATAACATGCATCTAAGGAAGTAGGCTTCAGTCTATGGACCTTACCACATGGAGGCAAATTGGTTAAATCTTGTGCGGAAACGGGATTTAAAAATCCAAACAAAAAACAAAAAAAAACGTAAAAGCAGGTTGTTTTTCAGACGTATTTGGGTAAAGGAGAAACAACGCGACATTAGCCCAAATGGAAAGTCAACAAAATCCGCTCCTTTTTACTTTCAGAAGTTCTCAAAAGTAATAAAGGAGCAGGTTTTGTCACCTTTCCATTTGGGTTATTTTTGCGTTATTTCTCTTTCACACAAACGTTGTCTGAAAAACAACCCGTAATTGCAGGGTTTTTCTACTTTCTTTTTAGATTAACCCTGAACGCCATGTGAAGCGGGTTGTTTTCATTTTAAATCTAGTTTCTGCATGGGATTCGTCCTGTGTGATAAACTCCTACAAAAGCTCATGCTTTCAACTTTTTTCTTTCAGTCAGTCTCAAAGATGCGACAAGATCCCTTGGGATGCATATTTACTACTTTTATGACATCAGTGTCTTTTTCGGAGACCTCACAGGATGCCTTATGCTTTGTAATATTCGTTACTCCCATATGTACACTTAGAAGTAAGCTTAATTGAACTTAGTATACCCAACCTTTGAGTAAACACACAAAACATCAAGCTGCACTTTATTCACAGAGAACTAAACTGTTATCTTTGAATTGCATTTTAGATCTTCAGAGTCCCAGTTCTGTGATTATATGATAATGTGTGTGGTGTTTGAAATAACAGGGCATCTATATTCTATTTACTGCAGCTACACAGTTTATTTTTGGTGTATGTTAGCTTCCTATCTGGTTAGCTTCTCCTAAAGCTTTGTGCATGAAAATAATTAGGGAAACTCAATTATAGATACTCATTGGAGAACACTGAAGGGAGACAGTTATGATATTTTCCTCCATGTGAATTTTAGCCCCCAAAAAAGTACACTCGTCCCTCCACATTTGCAGCTTTGACTTTTATGGATTTTATTAATATGTTCTCTCTAGGAAAATCCTGGTCCTCCAGTGCAACTCTATGGTCAACTTTAACCAAAAGTCACACTGAAGGACCTAGAGATTGTTAGAAAGAACACTCCATTATGCCTTTGCAGCTTCTCCAGAGCAATTCTATGGTCAATGTCTGGCAGATGTTGACCACAGAGTTTCACTGGAGGACCTAGAGATTTCTATAGTAGTGTTCTCTCAGGTAAAAATATAGTGTTTTTATTATTTGCAGTTTTTCCACATTCATGGGGATCCTTTACCCCTAACCCCAGCAAATGTGGAGGGGTTAGTGTAATATGGTATTACAGATAAAACTGCTGTTCTGACAACTCTAAACAACTGAAAAAGAAACCTACTGCTAAAAAATCTGCTGCTCCTGCAAGATATTTTTAAAAGCCCAATTACATGCCTAGCTCTCACCTATGTGCACAGTTAACTTGTTCTGGGTACCAATTAAATGGTTTAAGGGGGAGGAGAGGAGTGAGATTGCTAGCTTTATTTAAACAATGATGAATATAGGATTTGTGAGGCTAGCAGATAAATGCTCAGAATGGAGGGTGTTGATTCCTGCATTGAGGTAACATCTGAAAATTGTTTATGGATGAGCCCTTGAATGCATGTGCTTTCATACAGAAAAAATGTCAGTAGCTATTATCTGTCATAACTACATTGATGTGTAGGGCAGATCATTAAGGGCAAAGTGTTCCCTGGCCTGGCAAATTAGTAGTAAGAACTCCTTCATCAGGAAGTCATTAGCATGGAAGCATCTAATATTTACCTATCCATCCCAGCATTTTCTAGTCTGACTGGCAGCAGCTCTCTAGGGGTTCATGAAGAGCCACTTTCACACCTTTTGGCACCTGATCCTTTAAAGTGGATTTACCAGGGAATTAGCCATAGCTCACTAATAAAGCACATGTTCCATGTGGACTCTGCATACAGATCATGTGTTCTTCCAATGAACTTTCATCCCTCCCCAAGAGTCATCAGAGATATTTACTTCAATAAAGTATACGCTTAGGTTACCAGACTTTATTTTCATTTTTGTGTGTGTGTGATTTGGCAGCCATTAACAAGCTTTGGTTATATGTGTTTTTGGTTCTATATAGTCACCTTAATCTTCATTTTCAACTCTCTGTACTAGAAGATGTGCATTAAATTAAGCTGTATCTGTACGATTCTATCGTGCTTAATGTTGTTAACTGCACACTGTTTTCACTGTGGTATGAAAAACATGCTTACTCCCATTTACACAGCTGTTTTGAATTGGAATAAAACAATCTATACTACCCCTTTTATGCATCTGACCATTGAGGTAGGTAGTACAGTAATATTTGGGAATTTTTCCACAGAGATACATAAAATTAGCAAAGTATCACCACTTAGCAAAGTGATTTTTCTTGGTAGTTATGATGTTTATCTGGGAGTTTTAGTGTGGACACACACTTCTACATAGGAAGCACAGCCCTTTAACACTATTGTTGCATATTCTGACTGTGCCATCAGTGGTGATTGTATTAGTTTATTTAATCAAGAAAGGAACAATAACTATCAAAAATCATCTCAGTTCTTAATGGATTAATTGATTCAGGGTGTCCCACATTTGTAAGGTTTGTAGTTGAATGAAAGCAATATTTGTCACATGCTTCAGACTTGTTATTAAAATATACCAATGGGACCTACTCAAAATTCTTCTAAAAAGTTTATCACATGGGAGTAAATTAGGAATTTAAACAGTAATTAACCCATGAAAATCACTCAATTGACATTAAAATGCGATTAAAATGAGATTAACACAAGAGACCTTATCTCATGAATAACCAGGGAATAACCAGGCAATAAACAGCAAAAAGTTATTCACAGGAAAATCCCATGAATGATTTGCTCCTTATTCTGGCCAGGTTATTCACAGGATAATGGCACTTTAATCATGTTTCATCTCAACATCATGTGAAAACCATTAGAACAATTGTGGGATTATCATGGGTTATTCACGGTATAATAGCACTTTGAACACGGCATCGTGTGAAAACCATTAGTGCAATTGCGGGATTATCACCAGTTAATTACCATTTATACTTCCAGTTCTCCCCTGTGTGATAAACTCAGAGATCCTCTGCTCAGCATTCCAGCCAGCCTCAAAGAGACTCTATTTCTTCCTTTTCCAAATGACAAAATCCCATGGCTACTGAGCAACTGCATAGGCAGTGGCTTGTCTGCAGGACTGGATTATTGGTTTAGGTTTTAAAGCTATTGCCTTGTTAGTCTGTAGAATCAGTATGTAGCATCTTTGAGACTAACTGAAAGAAAGCTGGCACCATGAATTCTGAGACTTAAGTCTAGGAAAGCTCATGCTGCCAACTTCTTTCTTTCATGTCTCAAAGGTGCTACAAGATCTCTCTACATACTGGTTTAGGTTTTGTTTTTAAGAATATGTATGCCTATGCAAACTTGAAAATTTCACCTATGTTTGGTGATCCCACCATGTTATTTCTTAGAGGCCGTAGGCTCTTTCTATTTCCTTCAGGATTTACGACCCAATGTTGATATTGGAATGCTTTAAGAAGTTTTAAGCAGTGCCATATACTAATATAGTTATGTATTTTAGGCGGCATGGAAACTTTATCTAAACTGATAATGCTTACTGAGTTTACTGCAACTCGTGTGTCCAAGAAAGCACTCAGCTATTCAACTTAGGAGACACCTAAAGAAAAGAAAAAACCTGCAAGATTTCCTCCAAATTCTCTTGGGTGAATAAACCTCTTTTTTTCATCTCTGTGTGGGAAGGGGAGAGATGAAAATGAAAGATTGCTTAGATGTAGGAAACAATGAAGCTAAAAGAACAAAGTCAGATTTACGGGGCGAATGAAACAAACAGGAAATCTGATGTGACGAAAGAACAATTATCTGAACAGAAATAATCATTTCAAGCCCAAAGGAAGTATAATTTCTCCACTATATCATGGGGTTATTTAGATGCTTATGAGTGCTGATCATTGAACCTACATTCTTGACCAAAAGTGCTACTGAGGTTTATTTAAACTTAAACTTGAAGTAGCAATCCTATGGATGTTTACTTGAGAGTAAGGTTTACTGAACAAGCTGAACTAGCCTGCTAGAACTGTATAAGTTCTAATGCCTGTTAAACAATAATTGTTTAAATCACAGAACAGGGCTAATAAAGGTGCAACATATTTTAATAACAAAAAGTTTGAAAGGTATTACAGCAGTGTGGTGCAGTGGTTTGAGTGTTGGACTATGGCTCTGGAGACCAGGGTTTGATTCCCAACAGGGCCATGAAAACCACTGGGTGACCTTGGGTAGGTCACGTGCTCTCAGCCTCAAGGGAAGAAGGCAATGGCAAACCTCCTCTGAACAAATCTTGCCAAGAAAACCCCATGATATGGCGATCTAAGTTGGATATGACTTGAAGGCATGCAACAATCACAATCAGCACCATTTAGCATTACACCTGACCCCTTAGAAAAACCAGGGCAGATTTGGACCTGGATTGTCTCACGTTATTCCCCAACATAGTGAGTAATAAATATATACATATTGCTTTCAGAATTTTTACTATAAAGAGACTACAGAGACTTGATAGCATTCAACCTAAATGCTTTTATTGACAGTGTCTTGAACAGTAAGCGAACAATGCTTAATTTTTTGTTTAAATCCAAATTCACTATCCACATGTCAATACCTCCAGGTAGAAAAAAAACAACCCCCAAAATAAATATAAATATCCATAAATAAATTAAAAACACAATAAAAACGTTTTCATGGAAAACTTATGCCAAACCATTCAGACCACTTCAACAATGTAATGATCAGTTAAAAGTTACGGATGAACATTGATCTACTGTACAAGGAGAACTATAGTACATGGACAACATAGCTATGGTATTTATTGATCGACTAGAAAGTCTGTTTTCTTCTTCTTCTTTTGTTTCTTCTCCCCCAGCAGTTAAAGTTGGGTCAATTGCTAAGTCATCAAAACACGATATTGCCAGGAACACAGTAGTAGTAGTAGTAGTAGTAGTAGTTATTGTTAGTCAGCTGCACTAGATAACAAAGTCTGAAGGACTCCCTACCCCTCCCCAGCACCAGATTAAAAAAACCCCATTCATGAAACCAACAGATTAATGCTAGTGAAGAGTATAGGAAGGGGAAATGGGGGAAAGAGTCACCAAAACCCAGCCATGTTGAACATGCTACAAAATGACTAGTTCTCATGGAGGGAGGGGAGTGGATGAGAAGGGAAGGGAAGGAAGGACAAGACATATTCCCATGCGGTTTTGCTACATCTCTGGAAGAAGAGGAGAGGTCTCAGGCCCTGTTGGGGGTCTGGCTGCGGAGCAGTCCCTTTTTT